CAACCAGTGCCATCGAATCAACACCATCCAGAACATATCCTATAAGCACAATATAATGAAGTTAGAAATCAATGACAAGAATTAAAAAAAAAGGGTGGGGTGGGCACGGTGGCTTATGGCTGTAATCCCAGCACTTTAGGTGGACGGATTGCTTGAGGCCAGGAGTATGAGATCAGCCTGGTCAGCATGGTAAAATCCTGTCTCTACCAAAAAAAAAAAGATGTCAGATTTTATATTTTACCACAATTAAAAGATAAGAAAAATAAATAAGTGGAGGTAGTAATGAAAAACCTTCAGCTACATTTTTTTACAAGGATTTTTGGTATACCACAAATAATAAATATTTATATTATCTACTTCTTCTTCTTTTTTTTTTTTTTTTTTTTTTTTTAAAGACAGAGTCTTGCTCTGTTGTCCAGGCCTGGAGTGCAGTGGCTTGTTCTTGGCTCACTGCAACCTCTGCCTCTCGGGTTCAAGCAATTCTCCTTCAGGCTCCTGAGTAGTTGAGATTACAGATGCCCACCACCTTGCTTGGCTAATTTTTGTATTTTTAGTAGAGACCAGATTTCACCATGTTGGCCAGGCTGGTTTCGAACCTCAGACCTCAGTGATCCACCCACCTTGGCCTCCCAAAGTGCTGGGATTACAGGTGTGAGCCACCGTGCCCAGTCTACTTAATTTTTTAACAGTTCTCTCCTTTTTGTAGTTCTCTTTTTGTATGTTTTATGATGGACACACTAATTTGATATAGCAGTTCATATAAATAATTCATAAATAGCTACATATTAGTGCATTAGGGGTACATGCTGAAAATATTTTTACTGCTAAGTGTCTGTAGCAAAACTGTTTGATGCTCACTGGTCTAGAGGAACTTTCCCATGGGTGGGCAAGGGGACTACCTAAGAATATGAACTGATGCACTGACCGGAAAACTAGGAACTCATCTAACTGTCCATCAACAGAGGAATGATCAATGATCAGCTGGAGTATATTAAATCAATGGAATACTACATATTGGTTTAAATAGATGGATAAGAGCTACATGTATCAACATGGGTAAATATATATATATACACATACACCTATATATATTTTTTTCTTTTTTTTGAGACAAAGTCTCGCTCTGTGGCCCAGGCTGGAGTGTGGTGGCACAATCTTGGCTCACTGCAACCTCTGCCTCCCAGGTTCAAGCTATTCTCCTGACTCACCCTCCTGAGTAGCTAGGATTACAGGCATATGCTACCACACCCAGTTAATGTTTGTATTTTTTAGCAGAGATGGGGTTTCACCATGTTGGTGAGGCTAGTCTCGAACTCTTGACCTCAGGTGATCCACTTGCCTCGGCCTCCCAAAGTGCTGGGATTATAGGTGTGAGCAACTGGGCCCAGCCCAACATGTGTGAATATTTTAAACAACCTTGAATGAAAAAGCACATTGCAGAATGAAAAATACAACATTTACAACGATGTGATATACTATGGATACATCCATATATTGTAACATGTATTACATATGTAGTAATGTGTACTATGTTTAAAAACATTCAAGAGGAAGATAAACACCAAATTCAGGAATAGTGGTTACAGCAGGAGAGAGAGGGAAGAAAGGGAGGTTGGACAAAGGGCTTCAAACATGCTTTAGTTCTTTTTTAAAAAAAGATACAAATTAAATAAATATAACAGCTCAAAACCAGTCTCCTTGAGTTCTCCTCCTCAGTGACAACCATCCTCACACATCCCTGGTCTATCTTTCCAGAGACATTCTAGGCACATGCAAGTATACATATGTACATGTATCCTCCACCCCCACCTTCTTTTTAACTAGTGATGGTGGCAAACATTCCACATTGTCAAGCTGCATTTTTTTTTTTTTTTTTTTTTTTTTTTTGAGACGGAGTCTCATTCTGTCAGCCAGACTGGAGTACAGTGGTGCAATCAAGGCTTACCACAACCTTCACCTCCTGGGTTCAAGCGATTCTCATACCTCACCCTTCTGCGTAGCTGAGATTACAGGCACCTGCCACCATGCCCAGATATTTTTGTATTTTTAGTAGAGATGGGGTTTTACCATGTTGGCCAAGCTGGTCTCAAACTCCTGGCCTCAGGTGATCCACCCACCTTGGTCTCCGAAAGTATGGGGATTACAGGTATGAGCCACTGCTCCAGCTGAGCTGTACTTTTTAAACAAGGTATCTTAAACTTTGATATATGTCAGTGCATAAAGAGCTTCTTTGTTTCTTTTTCTCACTCTGTAGCCCAGGCTGGAGAGCAATGGCATGATCTCTGCTCACTGTAACTTCTGCCTCCTGGATTCAAGGGATTCTCCTGCCTCAGCCTCCAGAGCAGCTGGGATTATAGGCACTCGCCACCATGCCCAGTTAATTTTTGTATTTTTAGAGATGGGTTTCACCATGTTGGCCAGGTTGGTCTCAAACTCCTGACCTCAGGTGATCCACCTGCCTTGGCCTCCCAAAGTGTTGGGATTACAGGTGTGAGCCACGGCATTCAGCCTGTCTCCTTGTTTTTAAAATGTGGACCATAAAAGCATCTCCTCACAGGGCTGTAGGGAGGATTACAAGAGATAACTCATGGAAAGCTCTTGGCACAGTGCCTGGCAGAGAGTGGTATAGGCTCCTCAAAGAATAGTCCCATGCACGTGTTGAATCAATGAGTGAGTGGAAGAAATGAGCTGAGGTTGACTGTTTATTTACTGAGCACCTACCATGTGTCCCTTACAGCGATGAGCACTGCACTGTTAATGCAGAGAAGCCACCGCAGTGCACCCTAGTGTTCTTAACACAGACTGCAGGGAATCAGGGAAGGTTTTCTGCAACCTGAATTTTGACGAGGAAGGGCTTGTAGGGGTTAACATGGTATCTGACAGTAGCGAGGGTATTCCAGGCGGTCTGGAGGTTCCTGCTCCACAGCTGTGTGGGAGTGGGCGGTCAGCATCCCCTGGCACAAGGAGAAGGCAGCTCGGTTGGGTAGAGGAAGCGCTGGAATCCATGCTCAGCTTCAGTCCTGTGAGCCGCATGACTTTGGCCAAGTTACTGAATGTCTCTCTACTTCCCAGACTGAGAGAGTCTGTTAAGAATACTCACATGGGAGCAGGAACCCACATCCAGGAACAGAGCCCTTTGTTCCTCCCTCAGAATGAATGGAGACCAGAAATCAGATGTTTATGCCCAAGAATAGCAGGATTTAGTTCAGCACTTCTCGCAGATCGTTAGGGTGCTGACTGAGGATGAGATGGGGCACCCAGAGACAGGAGATGCTATTGCCTGGCTCAATATTGCCATTGGAGGCAAGTATCACTGGGGTTTGACGGTGCTAGTAGCGTTCCGGGAGCTGGTGGAGCCAAGGAAACAGGATGCTGATAGTCTCCACTGGGCCCTGACTGTGGGCTGGTGTGTGGAACTGCTGCAAGCTTTCTTCCTGGTGGCAGATGACATCATGGATTCATCCCTCACCCGCCAGGGATAGATCTGCTGGTATCAGAAGCCAGGTGTGGGTCTGGATGCCATCAATGACGCTGTCCTTCTGGAAGCGTGTGTCTACCACCTGCTGAAGCTCTACTACCGGAAGCAGCCCTATTACCCGAACCTGATCAAGCTCTTCCTGCAGAGTTCCTATCAGACTGAGATTGGGCAGACCCTGGACCTTATCACAGCCCCCTAGGACAATGTGGATCTCGGCAGATTCACTGAAAAGAGGTAAAAATCCATTGTCAAGTACAAGATGGCTTTCTACTCTTTCTACCTTCCTGTAGCTGCAGCCATGTACATGGCAGGAATTGATGGTGAGAAGGAGCATGCCAATGCCAAGAAGATCCTGCTGGAGATGGGAGAGTTCTTTCAGATTCAGGATGATTACCTTGACCTCTTTGGGGACCCCAGTGTGACTGGCAAAGTTGGCACTGACATCCAGGACAACAAATGCAGCTGGCTGGTGGTCCAGTGTCTGCAACAGTCCGCTCCGGAACAGCGCCAGATCCTGAAAGAAAATTACAGGCAGAAGGAGGCTGAGAAGGTGGCCCGAGTGAAGGCATTATACGAGGAGCTGGATTTGCCAGCCGAAGTATGAGGAAGACAGTTACAATCACATTATGGCTCTCATTGAACAGTACACAGCACCTACTGCCTGCTGCCTCTGGTGGATGTGCTTCCCCTGCCCGCTGCCTCTGGTGGATTTGTGGGCCGCTGGCTGCAGTCCTGTTTTTCTTTCCAATGGTCCTTGTTATTTATGCATAAATATTTACACATTTAAATGTCATACTGCATGGCTAGAATTAGTTATATCTTTGATAATAGAAAAGTAAGTATTTTGCAGGAGGCCTGAGGTGGGCTGGGGTCACTCAGTGTTCTCCTACAGCAGGGCCTCACTCTCCTCCCTGTCAACAGCAGACTCTCCAGTTGGGGTCTTCTCTGTTGGGGCTTTGCTGTCCCCAGTGTCCCTGTTGAAGATCTCGTCCTCATTAGAAGACTCCTTGTCATGCAGCTTTTGTGCCATGTTTTTCAAGTGTGTGGCACTAAGAGGTCTGTACATATCCCTAAATCAGAGCGGCCATCTTAATGAAGAAAAGCCACTTTGGGATGAGTAACTCCTGTGTGGCAGAAATCTGGAAATGCTCCTTGAGGATCCTTCTTCATCTTCCTTTGATGCCCTTCTATGAGAATAAATCTCAATGAGACAAAATTATTATTCACTATACAGTCACAGATATTGCCAAGATGAGTTTGTTGTAATGGTCATATCCTGCAACTTCCTAAGTGAGCTCACTTGACTTCTGCTCGTTCTGTTCACTCTGGGCTTCCGTGCTCTCTCGATAATAGTTCTCAGTTTTCAACTGGTTGATATCCCAGTCTGCCTTGGACACTGGTTCGCTCCTTCCCTGCGGCGACACCCGCCTTCCCGGTTTTCCCGCCTCCTCCCCGGCATGTGAGTATTCTTTTTTTTTTTAGGTCACTTTTTCCGCTTGTAGATTCTGCGCGCAAGCCCCAGAAAGATAGCTGGGGGCAGGGGAAGCACATCCACCAGAGGCAGCGGGCAGGGGAAGCACAGGGCCATCTTGCCCTCCCTCGTTTCCCACTCTTATTAGTCACCCAGACCTGAAAACATACCCTCAGGGAGTGGAGATTTTACAATTAAATACCGTTGTTCTTGGGGGAAAAAAAAAAACTCACATGCCAAGGATCTTTTGAGATCCCGCGACCGCACCTAGGCGAAGACGCGCTTCATCTAGAAAGCACAAAACTCTCAAGCCGCCAGGTACCTGCAGCCCGTGGTTCAGAGCTCCGCACTTACGGGCCTGGGCTCCCTCTACAGGCAGGCGCGGTGGGCCTGTGGCGCGGCCCGTCAGGCACTGCGGTAGGCGCCCCAGTGGCTGGCAGGACCCTGACCCCAAAATGGCGGCGCCCAGCGAAGTGACCGCGGTAGTCCCTGGCGAAGGCGATGGCGGAGGCGGCGGCTTTGACTCCTGGCTGGACGGACGGTTGGAGGCACTGGGAGTGGACCGAGCCGTTTACGGAGCCTACATCTTGGGTGTCCTGCAAGAGGAGGAGGAAGAAGAGAAGCTGGACGCTCTGCAGGGGATCCTCTCTGCTTTCCTGGTAAGTAGCCTAGACACATTCCTTCATCCTCTGGTCAGTATATGAGGATCTGTCAGTACTTTGCACTCTCTGTCCCCTACCTGGTATCCCGGAGGCTCAGTGGTCTCACCTGGGAGAGGTATACTCCTCTGACACCTGGGCAGCGGGGGAAGGAGGTTGCTCCCCAACCAGGTGGGAAGCCTGAAGGTTGCAGGTACTTGGAGAGGAATGACTTTCTCGTATTCTTGGGGACAAGGCCCTCTCCGATGCTTGTGGGTGAGCTGAGGAGCGTTCTTCCGAAGGCGCTGAAATGTCAGAATGGGAGTGTTGTCATAAATATCTAACGACCAACTTCATTTACATCCGTTTACAGTGTTCACTGGGGGTATTAAAATGCTCTCGGGAGGTCTGTGCCTATTATAAGGCAGTTCCCAGGTATGCCCCATTGCTATAACACCCACGTTAGGAAAGTCCTAACCGCGTGCACAGAGCCTGACTGCAAAACCTGTAACCCTTAAAGAAAGCAGACCGTGGCCACCGTAATAAAATCCTCCTGTTTCACCCATTGGTCTCTCCGGTCTTCTGAATATTATGCAACACCATGACAAAAGCCTACAGGAAGTGTCCTTTTGATTCTTATTTTGGATGTAAGAGTCCATAAAAGGTAAGCTGGTGGTAGAGGTCTTCATGCCCAGACAGAACTGAAGCAAACTTCGTGCTTGATCCATTACAGTATTTACCGTAATCATTGGTGGTGGGAAGTTAAAGCCCATTAGAAGCAAGTTAAATTCAGAAATATGTACTTTAAGCTATGTTTACATAGTAAGTCACCCAAATGTCCACTTTTTTCAACCTGATCATTTCTGCTGCCTTCATCTTCACTTCCCATACCTCTAACATACATACTTATTGGACTGGTTATTACAGATTAAATTGGTTACAGGTGCTGCCTGTGGCTGTCTAACGAATTGTTTCCTTTCCTTTTATTTATTTATTTTTTGAGACGGAGTTTCGCTCTTGTTACCCAGGCTGGAGTGCAATGGCGCCATCTCGGCTCACTGCAACCGCCTTTCCTTTTATTTTATTTATTTTATGATTTATTATTTTTTTAAGACAGGGTTTCACCTTGTTGGTCAGGCTGGAACTCCCGACCTCAGGTGATCTGCCTGCCTTGGCCTCCAAAGTGCTTGGATTACAGGCGTGAGCCACTATACCCGGCCTGTTTCCTTTTAAATACAAGTTCCAAAATAAAATTTACTTGAATCATCACTAAATACTGTAGAAGCTAGAGTTGTCTCTGCATTCATGGTTTAGAGGAGATCCTGGATACCTGACCTACTGTGAGAGCCATCAAAGGCTTTATCACATGGATGGATAAAGCCTGTCCATCAAAGGCTTTATCCTCTGGCATTTATTATAATGAACAGGAAAATGGGTTCTTTATTATTCTTAAAATCAATCTCGGGAGGCTAGTAATAAAGAGGATCAAAATATACCATTGGGCACAGTGGCTTATGCTTGTAATCTCACCACTTTGGGAGGCTAAGGCAGGAGGATTGCTTGAGGACAAGAGTTCCAGACCAGACTGGCCAAATAGCTAGACCCTGTCTCTACAAAAAAAAAAAAAAAAAGCTGGGTGTGTTGGTGCATATCTGTAATCTCGCTACTCAGGAGTCTAAAGTGGGAGGATCACTTGAGCCCAGGAGGTTGAGGCTGCAGTAAGCTGTAAATGTGCAACTGCAGTCCAGCTTAGGTGATAGAGTGAGACCCTGTCTCAAAGAAAAAAAGTACTATAAATGTATATAGATATAAATATGCATATAAATACCTCATTTTTTTTTTAAAGGGTAGAAAGCAGAAAACATTTCAAAACCAAAAGTGTTTTGTGAAGGCAGAAACAAGTGCTAGGAAAAAGCCACTTACATTTGGTGGAAGCAGTTCATAGATTGGGTACATGGTTGAAATATAACACTAGTGCAGCTGTTCCAGATCTTTCTGGCAGTAACCCATTTGAGTTCCAGAGCCTGTTCTGGCAAGATTGGGTTATAAATAGGAAAACTTTAACACAGCTTGTGAGGCAGCTCAGAAGTTCACTGGAAATACAAGACAGTGGAATCAATTCTTTTTTGGACCGCAACATTACATATTATTGGGGGAAGAGTAGGAGGCAAGCAATTTAACTTAGTTTTTATTTCTGGCTGGCAAGTTTCTAAACACTGCATGAAGCTGTTAAAATAACTTTGATACTTCTTGGTACCAACTTCTTGATCAGTCCATCATTATTTGGAGCTATGTTCCTGTTGATAAAGGCAGACATTAGTTTGCCTTTTTTTTTTTTTTAAGAGACAGTCTCACTATGTTACTGCAATGTGATTATAGCTCACTGTAGCCTTGAACAGATGGACTCAAGCAATCCTCCCCACCTTAGCCTCCCAAGTAGCTAGGACTGCAGTCACCTGCCATCACATATCATGCCTGGCTAAATATTTTTTTATGTTTTATGTTTTATTTTTTGAGACAGAGTCCCACTTCATCACCCAGGCTGGAGTGAAGAGTCAAAATCTCTGCTCACTGTAACCTCTGCCTCCCAGGTTCAAGTGATTCTTGTCTCTCAGCCTTTCAAGTAGCTGGGATTTCAGGCATGGACCACCATGCCTGGCTAATTTTTATATTTTTAGTAGAGACAGCATTTCGCCATGTTGGCCAGGCTGGTCTCAAACTCCTGACGTCAAGTGATCCACCCACCTCAGGCTCCCAAAGTGCTGAGACTATAGGTGTGAGCCACCATGCCTAGCCATGCCTAGCTAAAAAATTTTTTTTTTGTAGAGACAAGGTTTTGCCATGTTGCCCAGGCTGGTCTTACACTGTTGGGCTCAAGAGATTCTTCTGCTTGGCCTCCCAAAGTGCTGGGATTACAGATGTGAGCCTCTGTGCCTGGCTTTGGCTAGGATTTAATATGAGGAATTAAGAAGTTAGCAATAATCTGAGGTAAAATTCAAGAACAGTGGCATATAGTAGGAGCAAATAACAGTAAACAAAAGCTTTCTGTCTTCTTCTGTTCCTTTCAATAGTAATTGCATTGGCTGATTGATTTATTTATAATTTTTTTTTTTTTTTTTTAAGACAGAGTCTTGCTCTGTCACCCAGGCTGGAGTGCAGTGGTGTTATCTTGGCCCACTGCAACCTCTGCTTCCCTGGTTCAAGTGACTACAGGCACCCACCACTATGCCCAGCTAATTTTTTGTATTTTTAGTAGAGATGGGGTTTCATCGTGTTAACCAGGATGGTCTTGATCTCCTGACCTCGTCATCTGCCCGCCTCGGCCTCCCAAATTGCGGGGATTACAGGCTTGAGCCACTGCACCCAGCCTATTTATCAAATTTTTATTGATTAATTACTGTATGCCGGGCACTGCCCTAAGTACTTGGGGTACTTCAAGGAACAAAACAGAAATTCCTGCCCCCATTACCAGTAAATTATATAATATGTTACAAAGTGATAAGTGCTAGGGAAGAAGGAGCATTGTAAGAGGATCAGGAGTAGAGTGGAATGAGGGTTGCAGTTTTAAGTAGGATAAGCTTTCCTCTTAGTGCCTTGAACATAGCAGGCTCCTTCTGGATAAATAAATGAAGGAGTGGATGATTGAACTACTTTGATTTGGATGAGGAGACTGAGGAAATAAACCACTTTGTCCTCTAAGAGTACCCTTTTTCTTTTGCCTCTTTTGCTCCTTTTCCTGCCATTTGTTTTCTTTTGGTGGGGGATTTAAAAAGAGCTGTACCACTTTCTCATCCTTTTTTCTTTTTCTCTCCCTTGGCTTTTTTGCTGTGGGTATCAGGGGTGGGGTCCATGAGTTATTGAAACAGGAAGTTCTGTGTGTCTAGCATATATGCTAAAAGGATGCAGGGTAGAGGAAGTAATCCTTTATTGGGTACAAAATAAGGATATATGTAATAAGTGTGTTCTGATGCTTCACTTTTCTTTGGGAGATGGCAGATATAATTGTTAAGAACATGGGCTATAAGCGAGACTGCTGGTGTTCAAATTGTGTTTAATCCATTATTATTTGTAAGACCTTGGGCAAGGTAATTAACCTCTGTGCTTTCGTTTCCTCTTTTGTAAATTGAGAGTAAAACAGTACTTAATGGCATTATTTTAAGAATTGAGAGTTCTCATGTAAAGCTTTTAGAACAGTGCCTGGCACATGGTAAACGCTTTATAAATGTGAATTCTGACAGCTTGCCCTGAGGGGTAGAATGTGAAAGTGGGGAGTGCAGCCATAATGAAGATGGAGGGAAGGGCTCATCCTTAGTTTACTAAACGCTTGTTCTTTGACAAGTAGGGTAGGCACTTATATACATTTTCATTTATCTTCACTAGAGTCCTGAGAGGATGTAAAGATCAGAAAATTAAGAAACTTCTTCACAGATCTGGGATTTGAACTTAAGTATCTCTAACACCAAAGACAAGGTTTTTGTTATACTATGCTGGGGAGGGAGATTGGTTGGTATGCAGAATATGTATACTTCTGTAAAATGGACATTGGGATGGTTGAACAAGAGACCATTTATTCATGTATCTCCTCTTTATTTATTTATTTTTATATTATTATTATTATTTTTCGTGAGACAGAGTCTTGCTCTGTCACCCAGGCTGGAGTGCAGTGGCACAATCTCAGCTCATTGCAACTTCCGCCTCCTAGGTTCAGGCTATTCTTCTACCTCAGCCTCCCGAGTAGCTGGGATTACAGGCAGCCGCCACCACGCCCAGCTAATTTTTGTATTTTTAGTAGAGACAGGGTTTCACCATATTGGCCAGGCTGGTCTCGAACTCCTGACCTCGTGATCTACCTGCCTCAGCCTCCCAAAGTGCTGGGATTACAGGCATGATCCACCGCGCCCAGCTGTATCTCCTCTTTATTATTTGTCAGCAAGCTAATGGATATGAATTAGCTTGAAAATTGATAACCTAAGGGAATGTGCTGAATCGTATATATCAGCAAAAGAATATTTCACAGAGCAGTTTTGACTTAGGCAACAGGTTTTTGGTCCAAAAGAATTGGGGGAGTTAGATGGGAAATGGGAAGATTGTTGATCAAAAGGTAAAAAATTGCAGTTAGAGAGGAGGAACATACTTTAGTGATCTGTTGCATAGAATGGTGACTATAATAAGTAATAAATAATCAGCTGGGTGTGGTGGCTCAGGCCTGTAATACCAACCCTTTGTGGAGCCAAGATGAGAGGATTGCTTGAGGTCAGGAGTTGGAGATCAGCATGGGTAAGATAGTGAGACCCTATCTTTTTTTTTTTTTTAATTTAAAAAATTTATTTATTTATTTATTTTTAAAGATGGGGTTTCACCATGATGGCCAGGCTGGTCTTGAACTCCTGACCTCAGGTGATCCACCCACCTCAGCCTCCCAAAGTGCTAGGATTACAGGCGTGAGCCACCGGAGACATCTTTTTTTTAAAAAAACAAGCAAACACTCAGCCAGGTGTGGTTGCACATGCCTGCAGTTGTAGCTACTTGAGAGGCTGAAGCAGGAGGATTGCTTGAGCCCAGGAGTTTGAGGTTACAGTGAGCTGTGATTGTACTACTGCACTCCAGCCTGGATAATAGAGTGAGGCCCTGTCTCTAAAAAGTAATAATAATGCATTTGTACTTTAAAATTGCTACATTTAAAAGTACAAATGCATAAATATTTTAATAAATATTTAAAAGAATGCATTTTAAATATTTTCTTTTCTTTCTTTCTTTTTTTTTTTTGAGGTGGAGTTTCACTCTGTTGCCCAAACTGGAGTGCAATGGTGCAATCTGGGCTCACTGCAACCTCTGCCTCCTAGGTTCAAGCTATTCTTGTGCCTCAGCCTCCTGAGTAGCTGTGATTACAGGCGTGTGCCACCATACTCAGCTAATTTTTGTGGTTTTAGTAGAGAAGGTGTTTCACCATGTTGGCCAGGCTGGTTCTTGAACTCCTGACTTCAGGTGATGTGCCTGCCTCAGCCTCCCAAAGTGCTGGGATTACAGGCATGAGCCACTGCACCCGGCCTTAAATGTTTTCATCATCAAAAAAATGTGAACATATATGGAGACATCACAGGGAACCCTACATATATATTATATATACAGTTATTGTCAATTAAAAATAAAATAAATAAAGTATTTTAAGAGAGAATGAGGAAGGCTACCTTGAGTTGGGATGAATCTTCCCTTGGAGCTTGTCAGGGTGGAGTGGCTATTCTTGATGTAGGAGGTGTGGCTTCTGGGACACATAAACAGGATTAGTTCTGTGCCCAGAGCTTCAGAAGAGAAACATACTCTATTGTGGCTCCCAGATCCTTCCATAATTTCACAGCAAGGAGAGCTATGCCTTCTGCTTGGGCTTCTTTGAGGTTGCTATTGTTTTTGAGGGCTCCCTCAGGAAATTAATTGGTCTGCTTTTTCAACTAGGAAGAAGATTCCCTGCTTAATATCTGCAAGGAGATTGTGGAACGATGGTCAGAAACTCAGAATGTTGTCACCAAAGTGAAAAAAGAAGGTAGAGTCAGAGTTTCTATGTTTAACCTCCAGAGCCTTTTCTGGCAGCCTTGACTGTATAGCTGTTAGGGAAAGGTCTTTTCATTTTCCCCTTGGATGCTCATTTTCCCTAAGATAGTGCACACTGGCAAACACCCAGCAGCCTGCGTTAACTCTTTACTAAACATTGACTTCTTTTTCTCTTTTTGCATTTTTCCATTTCAAGTGACCAGTTATCTTCATTGTGGTTTTTTACTTTTTTTCATCTTCTTTCCACTGTTTCTTGTAGATTGGCATTGCAGGCATGGGGTCAACTATATTTTTACCACTTCTACTTTTCTCATGTTGTCTTTTTTTATTTTTATTTTTTTGGGGACAGAGTCTCAGTGTGTCACCCAGGCTGGAGTGCAGTGACACACTGTAACTGCTGCCTCCCAGGTTCAAGCGATTCTAGTGCCTCAGCCTCCTGAGTGCTGGGACTGCAGGTACATGCCACATGCCTGGCTAATTTTTGTGTTTTTTAGTAGAGTCAGGGTTTCACCATGTTGATCAGGTTGGTCTTGAACTCCTAACCTCATGTGATCTGCCCACCGCAGCCTCCCAATGTGCTGGGATTATAGGCTTGAACTACTGTGCCCTACTCATGTTGTCATTTCATAACACAAACTATGGTTGGTATTTGGCTTTATTCAGCTAAACACTTTACCTTTTAAAATGGAAGAGAAATGGGCTAATATATTCACCAATAAGATGGTAAATTAGCTGCAGAAAACTCAAATCATAAAAGCCAAATTTGGAAAGATTCTAAACTCTGTACACTGTTGGTTCTCAGTTTTGGCTATATATTAGAATTACTTAATGTACTTGGGTTGGGGCCCATATTTGTATTTTTTAAAAGCTCCTGTAGGTGATTCTAAAGTGCAGCCAAGCATGAGAACTACTACTTTACACTATTGCTTCCTTTTCTTGAGAATGGAGAACTTACTAGTTGATTTTATAGTATGGCACAATATTCTTTTTCTTTTTTTCTTAACATCTCCTTCTTGAAATTAGGCAAAGTATTCTTAATCTAAGAATTCTGGCCAGGTGCAGTGGCTCACACCTGTAATGCCAGCACTTTGGGAGGCTGAGACGGGCGTATCACCAGGTCAAGAGATTGAGACCATCCTGGCTAACACGGTGAAACCCTGTCTCTACTAAAAATACAAAAAAAATTAGCTGGGTGTGGTGGCATGTGCCTGTAGTCCCAGCTACTCAGGAGGCTGAGGCAGGAGAATCGCTTGAACCCAGGAGGTGGAGGTTGCATTGAGCCGAGATTGCGCCACCGCACTCCAGCCTCGGTGACAGAGTGAGACTCGTCTCAAAAAAAAAAAATTCCACCTGGTATAATCAGAAACATGAATAGGACCAGCTGAAGTTGATTTTAGATTCCTGGTTAGGTTTTTGGGATGCCATGGGAGAAAGTTGCCTGTTTGGGGGCTTAGTTTTTTGTGGTTCTAATGCAGTGCTTTCCAACTGTTTTTTTTTGAAGGCAGCGGAACGTTAGTATATAAAACAAGTAAAATCAGGGCTGCTCTGATTGAAGATGGATACAAAGCTTGGCCTTCATGGCCTTTCCTTTCCTTTCTCAACGTCCCTTGAGCCATGTCCTTTGAACTACAGGGCTCTAAGGAGGTAGCAGACGCCAATGTCTTTAGTACAAGTGCTGCCTGGGTGGACTAGTGGTTCAGTGAGCTTGTTCTCTCTCATACAACCTTGTTCTTCCTTCCTTCCACCACCTCCCAGATGAAGTACAGGCCATCGCCACCCTAATTGAGAAGCAGGCACAAATTGTGGTAAAGCCGAGGATGGTGTCAGAAGAGGAGAAGCAGAGAAAAGCTGCCCTCCTGGCCCAGTATGCTGATGTGACAGATGAAGAGGAATATCCTTTCTGGAGTCTCAGCACCATTCCCTCAAGCTCAAGCCAGACATATTTGTGGGTTTACAGTGACCTTTTAGCAAGTTGCCATTCCCCCTCTGTAGCTTAATTTTCCCCTCTAAAATGGCAGTGATCTATGGCCCTTTGTGGATATAAGGAGAGATACTGGATTAGTTGCTAGTGGACTTATATTTTTCAACACATAATCAGTATATTCCTGAAAGCTTTGGCATAAAACAAATAATGTCTTAATAGTTCATTTATATTATTCTTTCAGAAAATACAATATAGCTGCGATTCTTTATATTTGTATAATACTTTTCTATACAGTGTAGTATCATAAGTATAATTCATCTTTATATTCTTTCCCAGTCAGTGAGGAAACAGACACCAACAGATGAATGGGTGATCAGAAGCATTCAGAGGATTAGTGGCAAAACCACAGCTAGAACCTGGATATTCTGGGTTGAAAGATTTTCTCAATTTAGAGCAGTTAGAATATTTTCGTTCTTATGTGACCATGTAGTTAAAAGTAAGGCTGAACCCCCAAAGCAATACCAGAATAAATCTGGAATTTGAGTGGGAACTGTGCAAAAAGAAAGTGTTGCCAGTAGGGGTAGGTTTAGTTCCTTGTGAATTTCATATTTAGGAAATGCTTTGCTTACTGAGCCTACCTGAATGAAGTATGTGGCATATTATGCAGTGGACATCATACCAGAAATGTCAGCTGTCTAATCACTAATTCAGGAAAGAATTCTTGGACTTTTTGGAGCCAGTTTCTCTTCTAATTTTTTCTTATGATATTTCTTGCCAGGGTTGGCAGAGCTATGGTTCTGGTGACAAAATTTCTCATCTTGGGCTAGAAAAGAACTTTTAAAGCAATGGTTCTCATGAGGACTTGTTAAAGCACAGATTGCTGGGCGTCACCCACAGGATTTCTGATTTAGTAGGTTTGGTATAGGTCCAAAGAATGTGTATTTTTAATATATTCCTGGGGGTTTTGTGAACCACACTTTGAGAACCACTGTTTTAGAGGTCATCTGGTTTCCAGGTAATGTGGCAATCCACCGAGACCAACTTGAGTTTCTTTTCAACCTCCAAGAAAATATAAGATGAATCTCCTGGGTTTATCGTCATATCCCTGACAATGTGCTCCCTCCATTCAGTGTGCTTTTCCTACTTACCAGTCTACTGAATGTTTTCCAATGTAGATTGGGATATGCCAAGTTTTTGTTTTCCATCTGACTTTCCTTAACATCACTCACTGTAGCAGATGAGGATGATTCAGGAGCTACCACAATGAACATTGGTTCTGACAAATGTATCCTTCTGGGTCCCTCCCCGTGTGTTTCTCCATAGAGTCTTCTTGAGATCGGTTTTTATTTTGCTGTCATTGCTGGTGGCTCCCGTTTACCTTCAGGAACTCATGTCATGCCAACATTGGGAACCCCATTCCTAGGACAGCCCTATATAGCCAATTTAGCAAGAGCTTTCCCCAAAGAAAACAAGTTAACAAGTACTGTAAAGGGATTGGCTTGAAGGAAAGATTTCTAAGGGAAAATAAAAATCTATACTCCCTGTATGTATCTCTGAGTTGCCCAGCATTATGGAGAAAATTAAAATAATATTGAGGCCAGGCACGGTGGCTTACACCTGTAGTCCTGGCACTTTGGGAGGCCGAGACAGGTGGAGTTCGAGACCAGTCTGGGCAACATGGTGAAACCCTGTCTCTACTTAAAAAGTACAAAACATTAGCCAGGTGTGGTGGCATGTGCCTATAGTCATAGTCCCTGATACTTGGGAGGCAGAGGTGGGAGAATCACCTGAACCCAGGAAGTCCAGCCTGCAGTGAGTCAAGATCTTGCCACTACACTCTGGCCTGGGCGATGGGAGTGAGACCTTGTCTCAAAAAATAATAAATAAAATAATGTTGAAATTTTATCTTCTCCTCAAAAATTTTATAATTTGTCAGAGAGAGAACACAAACACATGTGGACATATTGAAACATATATGCTGATGGCTGGGCACAAGGACTCATACCTATAATTCCAGCACTTTGGGAGGCTGGGATGGGAGGATCACTTGAGGCCAGGAGTTCAAGACCAGCCTGGCAGCATAGCGAGACCCTGACTACTATTAAAAAAAAAAAAATTTAAATTAGCCAGGCTTCGCGATACACATCTGTTTGTAGTCCTGCTAACTCAGGAGAAGACCTTATCTGGTTTTAACAGGTTTTGTTTCTAAAGTCATAAGAAATAAGGGGTAAAGTTTTTGGTTGGGTATTTTCTTTTCTTTCTTTCTTTTTTTTTTTTTTTTTTTTTTGGAGACAGAGTCTCATTCTGTAGCCCAGGCTGGAAAGGCTGGAGTGCAGTGGTACTATCTAGGCTCACTGCAACTTCTGTCTCCTAGATTTAAGCAATTCTCCTGCCTCAGCCTCCCACGTAGCTGGGATTACAGGTGTGTGCCACCACACCTGGCAAATTTTTGTATTTTTAGTAGACAGGTTTCACCGTGTTGGCCAGGCTGGTGTTGAACTTCTGATCTCAGGTGATCCACCCACCTCAGCCTCTCACAGTGTTAGGATTACGGGTGTGAGCTACCGCGCCCGGCCTGGTTGGGTATTTTCTAACTGCTGTTAAACTTATTTTCATTTTATTTATTTATTTTTTTGAGACGGAGTCTTGCTCTTGTTGCCCAGGTTGGAGTTCAGTGGCGTGGTCTCAGCTCACTGCAACCTCTGCCTCCCGGGTTCAAGTGATTCTACTGCCTCAACTTCCCGAGTAGCTGGGACTACAGGTGTGTGCCACCACACCCAGCTAATCTTTATATTTTTAGTAGAGACAGGGTTTGACCATGTTGGCCAGGATGGTCTCCATCTCTTGACCTTGCGATCTGCCTGAATCTGCCTCCCAAAGTGCTGGGATTATAGGTGTGAGCCATGGCACCTGGCCTCTCATTTTCTATCTCATACGTCCAGTGTTTATGGTTATTAGAACATGGTTTTCACTTAAGCTTTGGTAGTCTAGGAACAAAAGCAAATTGATGAAGTTTAATAAGGTTAAACATCTTATTTAACACTTCAGGCATTTAACAGTGCCAAGTACACAAACATTTGGCATGTTACATTACTACTCTGTTCACCAAAACTAGCCTAGATTATCTAATATTCTGCCACTGAATGATGTAAGTACTTATTCTAGAATGAAATTTCATTTCAATGAAATACTTATTTTTTTTGAGAAAATATTTTAAAATTCAGATTTAGAGAAATCTGAATGAGAGTTTTATTCCCAAGGACATTTTAAAACATTTGTAATATAGCTTTAAGGATTTCTCTGTTAGATCAAGGATAAACATAAGCATTTTTTTTAAAGGCTAGAAATAGGTAGAGACCTTTCAGGACTCAGCAGGTGGTGAGAGGATAGCTAGAATGAGGAAAGACAGCAGTAGTGTGATCTGTGTGACCTGTAATCCCTTAACTCACCTGTAGTTCTGTTCCGAAACACCAATGTGGAAGATGTCCTTAATGCTCGAAAACTGGAGCGAGACTCGCTTCGGGATGAGTCCCAAAGGAAGAAGGAACAGGACAAACTGCAGAGGGAGAGAGATAAACTAGCCAAGCAGGAGCGCAAGGAAAAAGAAAAGAAAAGGACACAGAGAGGGGAGCGAAAACGATAACCTTGGCTTGCTCTGTTGTTTCCCCCCATGAACTTGATCAAAGGGAGAACTGGTTGTGTATTCAAGAGAAATGAGAGTGCATTGCAAAGTAGTTTCCCAAGGCATTTCCCCTATTGTTTATATGGTCAAAAGGAAAATCACAATCACTTTTAAGTACAAAATTTGCTATGTTTTGGTGGTGTGGGAAATCAGATTATATAGTTGATGACTGTACCAAAGATCTGGAATAGGGGCCACCTTTATATTTTAATACTTAAGTCCTGTGCTCCTTTCGGCCACTTTAAAAGTCTTCCCTCACCTTGGATAAATAGCAGGAGGATTCAGAAAGGTAACAGTTTTCATCCAGGAGCAGAAACATTATCAATCCCTCCTGGAGATGAAACATGGGCATGCACATTGCTTTGGAGGCAGTATTCAGCTGTAAATGTAGTGTTTTATGGCTGAAATAGAGCGCTAATAAAGAGCCCTATCTGGATTCAGATTTTATGTTAATATGGCAGCAAAACTAGGAAAATGGGAAGAAATTATTTGGGGGATGTTCTAAATTTTTTTTTTTTTTTTAAGTTTCAGCCTATGGGAGGAAAAGAGGTATCTTTTAAAATAGAGATAGTTACATATTTTTCCTCATCTAGGCTGTGATATTTTAAGGATGTGTCACCATTGGGTACAAGGATATCATTGTTGGCTAGATTCATTTTTTATTATCATGTATCCTCTTGAATCCTGGTAGGGATTTTAATACTGATTTTTCCCTAAGACATGAGTATTAAGAAGTGGTAATTCCTGATTTAGAGAAACTGGAGAAATTACCCTTTTAAGGAGGAAACACTGGAAATCTCTGCTAACACCAGGATATTTTTTTTTTGAGACGGAGTTTCGCTGTTGTTACCCAGACTGGAGTGCAATGGCATGATCTCGGCTCACCGCAACCTCTGCCTCCTTCAAGCAATTCTCCTGCCTCAGCCTCCCGAGTAGCTGGGACTACAGGCACGCACCACCATGCCCAGCTAAATTTTTGTATTTTTAGTAGAGACGGGGTTTCACCACGTTGACCAGGATGGTCTCGATATCTTGACCTCGTGATCCACCTGCCTCGGCATCCCAAAGTGCTGGGATTATAGGCATAAGCCACCACGCCCGGCCTAACACCAGGATATTTAAGAGTATACATATTAGATACTCAACACATTTATTGAATGAATGAGTGAATGGAAAAACTGGGAAAGTCAAAAGTGAATAGAAGCTCTCCATTTCTACTTTTGTCACAAACCACATTAAATTGTAAATAAGTCCCTTCCCTACTTGACTTCAGGCAGCAGACAGTCTAGAAGCCTAAAGACAGCAATTTCTCTGACAAAACAAAGTAGATATATTATACCAGAGGTTGGCAAACTACTGCCCACGGGCCAAATTTGGCTCAGTCTGTTTTTGTATAGTGCAAACTAAAAATGATGTTTACATTTTTAGAGTTATAAAAGAAAAAATAAGTGGTCTGCAAAACCTAAAATATTTACTACCTGGCCTGGCCCGTTGGAGGAAAAGTCTGCCGACCTCTGTTTTATACCATTAACTATGAGATTAACAAAAACTTTTACCTTTGTGTGAAGGTTAAAAAAAAAAAAAAGCATGGTTAAGGAAAAGGAGATGTGTTACCTCTTCATATACTCCTATAACCGTGGCATTGCAAAAAATAAAAATAACCACCTTTAAAAAAAATAAACCTTATTTAAATTGCTATCTTCTGACTTATTTTCATTCCTTCTAACCTACCCATGGAAATGAAATATGTGTGAGTAGTTACTTAGGAATGTGTTCATTTTTATTTTGTGCTTTGATAAGCCCTATAATGTATATTCCACTAGTAGAACCTCTTCCTGGAATCCATTAATTATCTTTCTCAATTTTCCTTTCTGTGAAGGAATTAGATCAGAAAGATTAGCATTTTTTTTTGTGGGAACATCAGGAAAATGGCTTTGAAGTCCTTTGAAGTGCTGTTAGAGTCTTAGTCCTTTTTTGGTAGCAATAGGGTATGATAGAGCCTATTTTAATTTAGTAATCCTTATTTTGGGATTTTGGGTTGTTCTCACCTTGATCTTTGTCTCTGAAGGAGTCAGGTTATATCCACGGACCCCTGAAGGACTTGTTTCAATTTGTTGGTTCTTTTTTCTGGGACTCTACTATGTAAGTCACAGTTAAGTATACTCTCAAACTAATGCTTAAACAGAAAAAAAAGGATTAGCTCAGTAGGCTTTGAGTTTGGTTATCCATTTGACTCAGGTGCTGATAAATCCTTTACATCTAAAATGTTCAGTATTACAAAGGGCAAATTTTAAACAACCATATCTTCAATGGTAAGATTGAGTTTTAGGCCAGATTTGGATTTCAGTCATAAATTCCCAGCCCTCTAAAACTTTATAGTAGCAGATTATTCAAGTGAGGACACTGATAATAACTCAAGGTAATTTTGCTTTTTCCATTAAAAAAATGAGTACACCAAGTTCTTTTGGATTAGAAATGGTGGGAGCATCAGTTTTACGTTTCACTGCAAGTTTTGTAAAAATTTTGTAATGTTTTCATACCTTGTAATTCAGAAGTACAAGTACATAAGAACCATCCGTTAGAGGATATACCATTGAAAGGGACAACCAACTAATTAAAAAAATTATCTATTGGGTGATATTTCAAAGAATTTTGTTAAGTGTTTGGTTCTTATTAATGGACTGGTATTTCATTTCTGACTAGTATCATGTAAAAGCATCTCTAAAATTTTTATGCTGGTTTACCTAGATTAGCATAAAGATAGAGCAAAAATTTCATTATTTTAAGGAGATCAGGTTAGATCCATGGATATCTAAATGGCACTGATTTATAAACCAACATTATTACTTGTGTGTTAATGAAATCTAAAATTTAGCAAAAGTTCTTAAATGAAATTCATTTGACTTTCTGATATGAGTGACTCTTAAGGTTAAGAACCAATATAAATTTAGAAAAACGAAACCAAATGTCTTCAACAAAGTAATTTATTTTTTTTCCTGAGAGACTAAATTTGGTACAGTATTTTTTTCATAACATCCAACATATCTTATGTTAAACTTAACCACTTTCTATGCAGTGACTGTGGTGAGGTGATCTATTTTATTTGACTACCCTCAAAGTAATTCATTTGGGTAGTTCTAAGGCTTATCAGTGATCAAAATGTTTCTCCCTACAGTTATTCCTGCATTCTCAATCAGTTTCTTCTGCACATCATCTAAAGAAAATTTATGTGGTATGATTACACTTTTTTTTTTAATACCAGGATATCTAAAACTAAGAAAAACACTAACATTTAAAACATCAGTGTTTCTAGTCAAGGATATTTCAATTAAATTTCATCAGTACATTATAGTTTAACTCATGCGAGAAATGTTAAAACCCAAGATCTTCTGAGTCACATAATACCAACATTTCATATTAATGAATAAATTACTCGAGTTCCATACAAAGATACTAAGTGATGAGAAAGAGAAAAAGCTAAGCTTTCAATAATGTTTAAAAAAAATACAGAAGCAAACTAATGAACACAACTACACAAAATACACACTAACCAACTGCAAAATAAACTAGTTAAAGATTAACCTTTAAAAAAATACATCTTAGAACTTCGTGATACCCTCATAAAAGGCAGCAAACTAAGGGTATTAAAACAGTAGTCATTATTTTAGTTACTGCATCAAGTCTAAAATATCCAGATAAAGGAAATGTTTTATGATTCAATTTAAATAACTTTAAAATGGGAAACATTTAATAATTGATAATATAATTAAATTTTAAAGAATATACACAAATGATCTGAACAGGTTTTATATTCAGTAACTTGCATGGTTTTTACACTGGCACTTTTATCATTAATTTAGGAGAATCAGATGCATTTCCCTCCATATATTTAGGCGTTAATATTTCAAATTTATAAATAAGGTAGTATTTTAAATATTAAATTTTTACACGAATATTGGGTTTATCCATATTTTCCTTTGTTCCCTAGGTATTATCTAGTTTTGTAAGGAAAACACTTTTATATCACAATCAAAACTTGTCTTGGTTACTAGACTGTAACCATAATTGGGTTACAGTTACTTAGTTTCATTATTTGGAATTCTACTTACTAAGACAGACCTAAATGAAACTTATCTCCTAGAATAATTTCACATTTGCATTTACCTGCACTACAGATGGGTTTAAGCATATTTTAGCTGTTAGGAAATACTTAATATACTTAAACTTGTTACCTGACTACTCAGAACTCTGAGTAGTCAACTGTACCTTTGAGTTCACTTAAAACTGTATCTGATTCATATGAAAGATTTTTAAATAGAAGTTAGACTTCATTAAGGTATTGGTATTAACTTTAAATCTGAAAGAAAACATACCTAAAGTTTGACAAGTTCATTAAAAAATTTTTAGCATGTCTTGATATATTTATCAGCTTTTTATTCTTTCTGCTGGCATTTCCTTAATGTTTGTTTGTTTCACCTCTCTGGTTCATTGGATTGCTACTATTTATGCTTTCATGAACTTTATCTTCACAGTTTACTGTATTTTGTAAAGCCTTTACCACATCAGCTGTACTGGCTGTTTTTGGCAAAGTCATCTGCAGTGCACACCACAGGGTAGTGCGTGTTTTCCGAGTAGCTACACACATCTCTTTAATTGCTGAAGCAAGGGCAAAAACATCTGTAAAAGAAACATTCAGGGTCATTTCATATTAAATACCATTTAAATGCCTGTTAAATCTTACAAAATCCAGGGCTCTTGCTACTAAATGACCAACTATTATTTTTGTTAAAAAAAAAAAAGATAGTTACTGCTTGACTCAAAGTCCTGTCCTTTATCATTAAAATATTTAAAGGTATTGATACTTTATTTCTGACTTGTATGATAGTGACTATACTTTGAGAACACAGACTATCTTAAAACAGTTATAATAGACAAAATAAAATGGAAATACTTTTGGAGTAAATAATGTGGAGATTATTTACCAATTTATTCTATAGATAAGTGTTAATTTTAGAAATCTAACCTTTCAACCTCAGAATCTGATTTCATCAATACCTAAATTATCATACTGACTTATCAAAAGAATATGCATTAATATTTGTACCTCTGTCATCTTGACGTCTAGGAACTCCTTGCCTTTGCTGATTGGAAGCATTAACAATTTCATCCTTTCTACGTGACTGTACAATGTGAATAGACTCCAAGTGTCTATCAAGAGCAGTAGAGATATTGGCATGAAGAAGAGAGCTCCGAAGACGTTCCATTTTGCCTAGTAAAGTCACAACCTGAGGGAAGCATTTTAATTTTTGATAAGACATGGAGCCACATTGTTCTGCCATTAACTTAAGTAAAAACAAATCTTCAACGAAGCAGAATAGAGATGAGAGCAATAATATTCATTCAATAAATAAATGAATGCTTACTGTGTCCTGACACCATGCTAAGAGAAACAAAGGAAGGTGTTTTCTATCTACTTGTCTGTGTTAATTCTAAAAATATTTGGTAGTTGATTACTGAGAATAAGTATCAATGAAAATGTTAACTATTCAAACATTACCATGTCATTAACAGTGCAAATACAAGAGTGGATACTGTTTTTGACAAATTAGAGACCAGCCTGCAAACAGCATTGTTAGGAAGTACTGTAATCTAACGGAAAAGGTTTTGAGCTAAAAAGAGAAGTACTGGGTTGATTAATCCTGATCTCAACAAGTCCTTAATTTTTCTGGGCCTCAATGTTCCCTTTTTGGAAATCAGAAATATTCAGATAATACTGACTAGTGACAGCTTTAAGGAATCCATAATACAGAAAATACTGATTTATGAAATCTGGTGGATTAAAAAAAAGAAAATATTGATTTAAATTTACATTAAAATAATACCAAATGACTCCTGTAACTGTTAAAACTGCTAAAGAAAATTAGGATGCGTCTCAATCCTCTGATTAATGAAACTTAAAAAAAGGCACTTAATATGTTAGATCAGTAGGGGGAGTATGTTTCATATGCCTAACGTTTAAAATTCAAAACTTGGAAAGTCTATGGTAAGATAACTTTTTGAATAATTGCAATTTGAAGATTGATAAGTACAATAATTGTCTTTGGGAGTTAAATGACTTAACAATTGACATTAGAACTTGGTGTTCACTGATTGGAGAATATAGGGGGAAAAAGCTTCTCAAGAAACTAATGGCACTGGAATTAATATTTTTCTAACCTCACACTCATATCAAGTTTCTTTGGAATACGTCTATTCCAGATGTTAAATATTTTCCTCTCAGCTGTGTATTAGCCAGATCCTTCAAGGAAAAACAAAACACTCAAACCTCCAGGAAACTACTAATTTTTTTTTTTTTTGAGATGGAGTTTCGCTCTTGTTACCCAGGCTGGAGTGCAATGGCGCGATCTCAGCTCACCGCACCCTCTGCCTCCTGGGTTCAGGCAATTCTCCCGCCTCAGCCTCCTGAGTAGCTGGGATTACAGGCACGCGCCACCATGCCCAGCTAATTTTTTGTATTTTTAGTAGAGACAGGGTTTCACCATGTTGACCAGAATGGTCTCGATATCTTGACCTCGTGATCCACCAGCCTCGGCCTCCCAAAGTGCCGGGATTACAGGCGTGAGCCACTGCGCCCGGCCAATAATTATTTTTAAGTAAGACAATCATTTTGAGCAAATGATAAGAGTAAAGAAATGT